AGACAGTGTGAAGAGCCAGGCAGAGAGCAGCAGGCTACAGCTGCAGTCCAGGAAGAGCCAAGGATTGGCAGCAACTGAAAATGAGAGAAAGGCCTGGAACAGATTCTGCCCCAGAGCCAGCAGACGGAGCACGACCCTGCTACTACTGGAGCTCAGACTTCATTCAAGCCCCCAGCAGTGTGAGGAGATCTCTGCTGTCTCTGGTCACCCTGTCTCTAGCTCCTTGTTGAAGGCGCTTCTGAGAGCACAGGGGCCTTCGGGCCTCTCTTCTCCAGTAACCGCCACCCCAGCCCCTCAACCACAGCAGCTGGGCTGAATGCCCCTGGGCTCCACAAGGCAAAGAACACTCTGGAAGGCTGCACACCTCGGAAAGTGCTCAGGAGACAGAAAGCCAGGTGTCTTCTGAAGCCCTAGGCTCCAAATCACCTAGGCTCCACTGTGGCCCCAGGCGCCTGTAGGAATGAGTGACAGGGACCTATGCCAAATGGAAATCAGTATGGCAGGGCCTCAAAAAAATTCAAACCAGAAATTCCATTTGACCCAGCTATTCCCCTCTTAGGTACCTTCCCAAAAGAGTTAAAAAATAACATATCACAGTGATCCCTGCACACCCATATTTATAGCAGCACAATTCATAATAGCTAAATCTAGGAAGCAGCCTATATGTCTATCAGCAGATGAATGGATAAAGAAAATGTGGTATTACACACAATGGAGTACTACTCTGCCATGAAGAAGGATAAGCATGGGTCATTTGTAGGAAAATGGATGCACCTTGAGACCATCATGTGAAGTGAAATAAGTCAAGCACACAAGCTTAAATATCACATGGTTTCTCTTATATGACAAACTCAAAGCATAAATAACTTAAAAAAAATAAAAGATAGACAATACAAAACAGGGAGATCAATCTTTGTGTATAAGAATGGGGATGTAAAGACAGAGGGAGGGGAGGGGAAGGAGGACAAAAAGAATTAAGATATGTTAAGTCCATGTACCTACTCCCTAAGAAGAATGTAAACAGTATGTGTTGCAAATATGTACAAAACAAAACAAAACCAAAAGTGTGTTAGAGTCTGTGTGTATGTGTGTGTGTGTGGGGGGGGGGGTCCTTCCCCTTGTCCTTTGCCACATTTCCCCCAGATGCCAGTAGGTGGCAATACTGGCCTCCTCCTGCCTGCACCGGAAGAAGGGCTCTACAGATTAGTAGATTAGTAAATCTATTAACGGGAGCATGCAGTGGTACCAGTGCCTGGGCCCTGAACTAAATACCTCCCATGTATTTATCCCACTTCCTATTTGGGACAGCTTTGGGGAGCAGGTACTACTGCTTTCCTTATTTTCCACATGAGGAAACTGAGGCACAGAAAGGTGAGGAGACTCACTCATGGTCATGCAGCCCATTCAGGGCAAAACCAGGATTCCATTTTGTGTCCGAAGCTACACTCTTACTGCTCCCCAGCTACTCTGCCAGGCAGCATATTGGGGGCACAGCCTAAGACCAGGGCCCAGGAGGCCCTGCACTGGCCAGAAGAGCCAGAGCCCAGGAAGTGTAACCAGAGCAGAGATGGGAAGCAGCCAGGCCAGGGACATCAAAAAGGGGGACTCAGGAGGAGTGGACCTTAGGACTAGAGCTAAGCAGCAGGGCAGGACCAGAGCTGGAGAGGCCATAGCCCTTGGCGGCCTGTGCCTGGGGACAAGAAGGATGATGCCTCCCTCTCCCACTGCACTATAACCCAGCCTTTTGCTGGGGAGTGTCAGGACCCACAGTGTGGTCGAGTCACTGTGCCCCACTGGCTGGGCTTCTCCAGCAGACAGGAGCTGGCCATGGGGGACTGAGGGGGGCTGCCTGGTCCAGTGCAGTGCCGGATGGGGTGGGGTCAGAGAAGGCTTCCAGAGGTCAGGACCAGCCAGCAGCTCACTTGGGAGCAGCAGAATCGGTTTCAAACTTTGTGTGGCTGCAGAATCTGAGGGAAGAAGTAGCTGAAGCATCAAACTGAACTTCCTGTTGGGAGACTGGACCCACGCCCCACTTTCCTGAGCAGCCTCTATTGCACAGATCTGATGAGTGGGGAACCCTCCCTCCTGACCCCTCCTCCTGGACACCTGTGGTGTCTAGAATGCTCCATGACCTGCTTATGTGTCCTGGGCCACTCAGCAAGACAACTTCGTCCTTGTCCCCTGCTCTTCGGTGACCTGAAGGCCTAGGCCTGTTCTTTTGCAGAATGAGCACCCACGCTCTTCATCAAACCTCCAATCTCCAATCTTTGGGGAGCTCTGCTAACCCAGCTTGTGATGGTTATAGCAGCCTCAGGAAAGCAAGACAGCCATCTTGCCATGCCAGCCAGATGATGGATATTAAACATACAAGGAATTTTACAGAATAAATGTTAAAATGCTTCTCAAATCCACAATAAGGACAACCTACGTTATCTCTTCAAAGGCATATGAAACCATCCATTGGCTTTCCCCCCCAAAAAACCATAAGGAGAAATGGGAAGTGTATACTGTTATGGGATGACGTGTGTCTTTGAAAATTGATTTGTTGAAGTCCCAATGCCCAGGGCCTCAGAAGGTGTGTGCACTTGCATGGATTTGGAGATAGGGTCTTAAAGGAGGTGATTAAAGTGAACTGAGGCCACTAGGGCGGGCCCTAATCCAGTGTGCATGGTGTCTTCGTAAGAGAAGAGTGGGGACTCAGACACACATGCAGAAAAGATCGTGTGAGGACACAGGGAGAAAGTGACCATCTACAAGCCAAGGACAGGTCTTGGGAGAAGCCAACCGTGCTTGTACCTTGATTATGGACTTCCGGCCTCCAGAACTCTGAGGAAATCAGTTTTTGTTGTTTAAGCCACCAAGTCCATCCTACTTTGCCATAGCAGCCTGAGCCCTTATATCCCCTCAGTTCCCAAGTCCCCTAGATACTGCCCGGTAAAGAGCGAGCCCTGAATCTTCCTTTCTAGATCTTCAGAGGTTCTTGTGGACAAACAGACAGTGCCAAGGGGACAGTGGTCCCACGTCTGCACGTGGTTGTGGAGCTCTAGTGTGGGAGCTGAGATGGAATTAGGGGCGTCAGCAGGGGCCCTGGAGCTGTGGTGACCAGTGGGGACACTCTCTCCTTCCAGCCTCAGGGGTCTTCCGGGCTGCTGTGAAGGTACAGCTCTTCGCAGACCTGGGTTTGGATAAAGTTCTCAATCCAGGCAGCAACACCAGGGTGCTGGCCTCCCTGCAGGACCTAGCAGCATTCAGCACGGAGCACAAGGAGGTATTGATTGCTCTTCGTCCACTGACAAGAGAGCACCATTATCTGCCTGGTCACCTAGGGCTCAGAAACCAGGGCGCATCGCAGCCCCGCCTGCAGTGAGATCAGCAGCACTCAGCCTGCCCCTGGCCTGTCACCCCACTGCCGGGTCCTCCCTGCTTGGCAGGCCCCACCAGCTGGGCCAGTGAGAAACCATCTGACCAGCTCACAGGCCAGAACTGGCTCCTGGGCACCCACTGGGCCTCCCGGCTCCCAAAGGAGCCAGGCATACCCAACATCCACTTGGTCCCTACGGCCTAACACACTGGCAAAGAAGGCAACTGTGAGACTCCTTCCTGGCTGGTTGAACTTGGCCAACTTACCAGAGTGCCAGGAGCAAGCTTAAAAATGGCAGGCAGCCACTGTTCAGTGGCTGGCCCTCTACAGGCCTAAGGTTGGCACTTTTTCTTGGGATATTGTTCCACCACCAAGCTCAGGACCGCAAGGGCTAAGGTGATACAGATAAGTTCTTAACAGACAAGAGCCGCGCACTCTCTCCCTGGAGGCCAGGCTGTTTTGTTTCTTTCAGCCCTGGGACATCCAACCAGATGAGTCCTTACCGACTTCGGTACCCCATCCTGTCACCGGACACATGAGACAGTGACCCTCAGGCCCGGAAGGGAGATGGCCTTACAGATGTCCTCCAGTGACTGAACGGCAGGCAGGCCTGGCAACTGCCGGTCCCAGAGAGACGAACACATGATTACCTGCTGAAGCCAAGAGCAGACTGTGCCAGAGCGGGTGCCTCCTGGCCCCTCTCCGTGGGCGCGTCCTCTTCCACCACGTCCACCCTGTGGGCGAGAGGAGAGACTGCACTCATGGTCTTGGCTGCCCTGTGTGTGTCGGCCCTTTGATACCCGTGCCTCCAGGGATATCCAACTGAGGTGGTCAAGAGGTGGCCCAACCACTCCAGCTCAGGATATGGACGGTGTATGGGGCAGGGTGTGTCCTTCCCAAATTCCTGTCCCCCTGGAACCTGTGTCTGACCTTATGTGGAAATAGGGTTTTTGGAGCTGTAATCAAGGTAAGCTGAGGTCACAGTGGGTTAGGGTGGGTCCTAAATCCAAGGCCAATGTCCTATGACGAGGGAAATGTGGACACAGACACAGAAAAAGTCCTGTGGTGGGCCAGGGATCTAGCTCAGTGGTTTCACTGCCTGCTGTGCAAGCGCAAGAACTTGAGTTCGATCCCCGGTACCAAAAAAAAAAAGTCCTGTGGAGACAGAGGCAGAGAGGCAGACTGGAGTGAGGCAGAAAAGCCAAGGCGCACCTATAACTCCGAGCAGCCACCGGGCGCCGGGAGAGGCCTGCATGCATTCTCCCTCGGCGCTTCTCCGGGGAGCCAGCCCTGCCAACACTGTGCTCTCCCAATTCCGGTTCCCAAAGCTGGGAGATAAGCAATTTTCATGTTTTAAGCCACCCAGTTCGTGGGGCCTTGTTACAGCTGCTGCAGGAACCTAATACAGTCGGTAAGAACACAGCATTCTCTGCCACTTACTTTGTGCTGCCAACCCCTGCTCAGTGTTTCCCATTGCCCTCCTCTGCACCCTGGGGCACTTGGCACACTGATTCCCTCTCGATTTTCCATTCTCAGCTTGTTAGGACACCTTATTTTGAAAGTTTTCCCTGTCCATCCAACTAAAGGTCCATCAAATTCAACTTTCCAGAAAGTTCTCCTTCACTCTCCCCCCAGTATCTCCCTCCCCCAGAAGGTACCCTGTGCTAACTAGTGACAGCAACCAACGAGACGGTCCCTCTCTGTTTGACCCTGTTTACCCTTTAGGACCCATCTCCAATGTCACAGCTGCCTCCCAGGGAACGTCTCTTAGCGGCCCTATTCCTGCTCCTGGGTCAGGCCCCAGCCCTGGCGGGTGGCAAGCGGAAGAACTCACTCCCCAGCTGCATTTTCTCAGTCAGGCTCCCGCCTGTGCAGAACTGGCTACTGGGACTGCATGTGCCGCTGCAGTTCCCCAGCTGCTCACGTGGCCTCCAGACAGAAGCCTGAGTGGCCTCTCCCAACTCTGCCTGCTCAGGGACAGCAGTCGCCCACCCCTACCTCCCCTGTCCCCACACCCTGCTGACAGGAGGCCAGCAACAGACTTCCAAGGCTTCTCTGGAGGCCACTCACCTCTTTGCAATAAATGGAGCTTGTGTCTCCTGGGTAGGACTACACGAAAGGAAAAAGAAAGGTGCCATGTTGGGCAGAATCCACAGACAGGTGACATCTAAGCCACTGTACCCAAAGGGTCCTAGGTCTCTCTCCTATTCCCAGCACTTTAACTGCCCCAAAGGCAGCAGCCCTACCTTGCCTTTTATAGAAAATGCATCTGAGAGGCTGAGGAGACCCAGGTAGGAAGGCCCATGGGAGTATCTGTCACCCACCCCTCCCCAAAGAGAAGATGGCACCCTGAGGCGAGGGGAACGGCCCCCAGCATGGAGCCAGTTGTGGTCCGGCTCAGCCAGGCTCAGGCCAGGCCTCCTCCGGCCCTGCAGGGCCTCGCAGTGGCGGACTCACCCAACGCTCTTCTTGGCTGCCGACAGGACGTAGGAGTGCTCCCGGGGGGCGCTCTTCCGAAGCACACTGCTTGCAGCCTCTGACCTGTGGCGGTGCGGGCTAGGGGTCAAACTGGACACACTCTGCCAGCCTGGCCACGGTGTCCTCAGGACGGCTTGGGACCAGCCCGGGAAGGTGGAAGACGAAGGAAGGGCCACTCACTTTTGCAGAGCACGAAGAGTGCACCCAGCCCTGTCCTGGACACTGCCATCCCCACCCAGGAAAGTAGGTCACAGGCTCGGGCAGGCACTGAGGCTGGGGGCTCCAGTGACTTGCCCAAGGGCACATGCCTTGTGGATGGCAGAGCAGACGTCTGACGACAGGGAGCACCAGAGCTCCTGGCTCTTTCATCTACGCTACCCAGACTCAGTGAGCCACACCGCCACAGACTCTTCCCACCTTGCAGAGCCTTCAGCAAGGCCCATTGTGTTTCTAGGTGAGGGTGTTGGGAGACTCCAGAGCTCAGCCCTAGCGTCCCAGCACGCACAGCCTGCCAGGGTCACAGCACACACACAGAAGGCACTTTGCACGAGGCCCCTCTCAAGGCATCTGACTCTGCTACTTATGTTCAATTTCCCAGGCCCCTTTCCAGCAAACTGATAGAATGTCCTGGAAAACCCAGGAATCCGGCTTTTCCCTGGCACCGTATCAGCTAGGTTCAACCCTGTGGAAGGTTCTTAAGGGGGCACCCTGAGTTGGGTGGTCTTGTGACCCACGGGACAGCCCTGTTCCCACAGCTGTGGCCCATGTATTATACATATGTCACGGGAACAGTACAATTCCCTTCAGCAGTCTGCAAAGACTTAGGCCTCTGCCCCACCCATGGGGATGCCCAAGCGGACACTATTACCTCCATTTCTGCTCATCTGAAGAGAAGGGCGCCTCCTCCTCCTCAACAGCCCCTGATACGGAGCTGCGCCTGACGTTGTAGGGAGCGCTGGGGGAGGGGAGAGGTGGTCGTGATCCCCCCGGCCCCGCTCCCCGTCACAGGCTGCTGCAACCCTCCACAGCTTGGCCCCTGATGTCCACCACCACACTGGAATCATTGCCTTTGGCCCCAAGTTCATGCCACTTCCTTCTCTGTGTCAGCCAGCACTCCTCTCTCCTGTTCCAACCTTAGCTGTTCCACAAGACCCAGTTCAAGCCTCACTGTTCCCAGCTGATTCACGATGCTGGATAATGAGGACAAGGCACAACAATATGAAGGGATAGGGCCCCTAGGAACTACAAGCACAAACCCAGAGCTCTGTCCAGAGTCCCCTTCTCTGGTCAAGCAGGGTGGGGCCTTTGAAAGGGACCTCAAAGGGAGACCTGGGGCATCCCAAAGATTTATGTCCAGAAAATATTTCGTATTTAGGCACAAAATGCCCAGGCCAATAGGCTGTCAGGCCCAGTGATATCCTGAGGTTCATCAGGACCCCAGCCCAACACACGTAGCCTGAGAGCCCGAGGACTAAGGAGTGTGGGGCACGCCCAGGAAACATGCTCTGCCTGAGCTCGGAAGTGCACTGTGCATGGCCACCCAGGTTTCGGGGGCTTTCTCCCCCTCTGGTGGGCTCCGGGCCACAGATGGCCTGGCAAGAGGTGTCCAGTTTATGGGACTTGCTATCCCCAGCCTATGCTCAGAGGCAAGGGGCCCAGTATTTGGGCTCATCCCTCAGAGGAGGGGACCGAGTCAGGTCTGAAGTCGCATACTCACAGCTTCTTGTAGTCCTCTGTGGTCATCTTGTAGCCAGAGGTGGAGGAGTGGAGAGGTCCAGTACTGGCAGCTTTCATCAGACCAGCAGCACTGGAAAGCCAAGAGGTGTCCATGTGTCCACCTACAGGACATTTGCCCTTCCTGTGCCTCTCCATCCCAGTGACCAGAGCCAGTCAGAACAGGTCCCTCTCCCGGACAGGCAGGGCCCTCTCTCTGCCAGGAGCCTGGACCAGACTCCCCATGACTGTACCTTGTTGGAGCTCCACTGCCCTTGAGGAAGTGCTGCTGGGGCTGGGATGAGCTGTCTATAGGCCTGGTGAACACCCCCCTACGAGAGAGCCCAGCAGATGCTGAGAAGCCAGGGGCGGCACAGGGGGCCGGGAATGCAGGCAGGCCCTGTACTCACTTACCGGATGATGTAGCCAGTGGAAGCCCTTGCCCTTGGAGATCTGCCAAGGGAAAAGGGGGTGCAAAGTGAAGCGAGGTCTCACTGGAGGCCCAGGCTGGCCCTAAGCACGATCAGAGCAGCTGGCTGCCGGGGGTCTCAGGGTAGCAGAAACAAGGGCAGTCGGCTGCCCCTGAGTCCCTAGCCCAGTTGCCAGGTCTGCTCCACCGGCTTCCCTTCTCTCCCCTGGGAAGAGCACCTGCAGCTGACTCCTCTATGGCCAGGCCCAGTGTGGCCCTGACTCAGGGCAGGTCCCCAGGAGGACAGGTCCCACATCTGCAGAGCTGTCCCCTTTGAAGTCCAGCTTCTCCCAAGCCTACCTGGCCCTGGTGTCCCCAGGGCTGAGCTCTTACTGGCCTTGCTTGCTGACAGCCCTCCTAGCCTCTGTTCCCAGAGCCAACGTGGCTCAGGCCAGAGGTCCTCTGCCCACTCTACCACAGGGCCAGTGTCCTCCAAGACGGCTCAGGAGAGCCCGGGCCTCGGCCAGCCAAGGCAGCACCCTGATCCGAAACACCCAAGAATGGCATTTCGAAATGCACCCTGAACCAAAGCCCCAGCTGAGAACTGCGTCCCCCCAAGTCGACCAGCTCTGTGAGGAGCAGACTGTCCTTAAATGAGATGGTCCCCAAACTCTTGCCAACCTTACCCACAGCACCTGTCCCAATCCGCAAGTCTTTATCTTGCCTTTGCCTCTTTACATGGGTTATGCCTGTGTCCCTGGCGGGGATGTAGTCCCCTGAGGAGAGGGCCTGGGTCTTGACCACAGGACATGGCAGTTTGTGGGCACTGAGTTACTAAGGGATGACAGGCAGGACCAGTTCCCGAGGCTGCCTGGGTGGTCAGGGGCTGTCACCACCTGAGAAGCTCCCACAGTGGGTCTGCCACCAACTGCCACAGCCTGTGGCAAGGACCGAGCTGGTATTTCTGTTCCCCTTTTCCTTCGGGAGCAGCTCCTCCAGATGCCAGAGGAAGTGCCACACTTCAGAGCACCACCCCCTGACATTTTATGGAAATGTCTTCAAAATACAGAGGCCGACTCAATGTGGCCAGCTGGCAATCTGAACCGGGCACAGCCGGGGCAAACGTGCAAGTCTCCCCTGGCACGCTGACTGCTGCATGCACTCCACAGTCAGGGCCACTTGCGGGAGTGAGGGCCCTCCCGACCCTCAAGCTGTGCCGCAGAGATGTCAGCTCACCCCCACCTGGGAGAGGGGAGTTCAGAATGGCGTGCTTCCTGATGACAGCTCTGTCCTGTCAGCTGGCACCGTGACAGCCCAGAGGCGGCATCCTTCCGCAGGCCACAGGGCTGCAAAGCTCGCTCCCGCACTCCCTCTCCCAGGAGAGCACAGAGACATGCTCGGCCTTCCTGGGGATTTCCAGCTGCAGGGCTTTCGCACCCCTTCTCAGCTCGGGCTCCCCAGCTGCCTTCTAGGTACTGCTCGCCTCTCCCTGATGCAACCCAGTCCCCAAGGCCCACCTCCAAGCCATCAGGGTACTGCTTCTTACCTGGCCTTCGAGACCTCCCTAGGTGATGAAAAGGACGTGGCACGACTCCGGCCCGAGGGCAGCTCTCTGGGGAAGGAAGAGAGGTCCTGAAAGAGCAGCCTCCATCTCTGCTGCCTGCACCCTACGGCTCCCACCTCAGAGGCTTCCAGCTGAGTCCCACTGCTTCTGCCTCCCCTTCTTCCCCACACGCCTGCCCTGGCACCCGGGAGTCTTCTTGCTGTGACTTTGTTCAGGCGTTGCCCTTAGCTTGGTTGCCTCTGCTGTGCTCGGAAGCCCGGCCGGCCTGGGGCCTGGTGGGTGCCAAGGACAGCCCTCCACGCTGCTGCCAGCCTTCCTGGCCTCCTGGACTTACATGGTTTGGGCCTCAGATTCATCCTGCTTGGTGATCCAGCTCTTGTCGCCCTTCAGCGTGGTTCTTACTTTCATCTGCTTAAGGACATGATTGCGCTCCTCCTCTCCTGGTGCCAGAGGCTTCCCTGGTGAGGGCAAGGCCAAAGAGCCTCAAAAGGGGGCCTCCTGGGCAGCCCCCAACATGCCGCTCCTGCTCTGCTGCCTAGGAAGCTCCCGTGGCTCCCAGGGGCTGCGCTTAGAGACAGGTGGGCACACGCAGGGCACCTCAGCCTCACCTTTGGGGCTGCCTCCCAGGGCGGAGATGCTCATGGTGCTGCTCTGCCGGCCCCTTCTCAGTCGGTCCAGTGGCTCCTGCAGACACAGGAAGGCGCAAAAGGCTTGCAGGTCACTGCTACAGTGTGGATGGGGTCTGTCCCCCCTGGGGCTGAGTGTGGAAAGCTCAGTTCCCAGGGTGGGGCCTTTGAGAGGCAAAGCTTCGTGGACAATAATTAGGTCATTGGGGTGCTGACCTAGGAAGGAACTGATGTAGTCCTCATGGGGCCCTGGCTCGCTCTTGGGAGCAGGTTCTTATGAGAGCCAGACCGGCCCTACCCGGCCTCTCTACAGCCTCCTGTCTCACCATGTGAGCTCTGTCTCACATGCTCTCCTGCCATCAGCCAAGGGGTCCTCGCCAGAGTCACACTGACGCCACTCCCATGCCCTCGAACCTCCAAACAGTGAGCCAAGTAAATATCTCCTCTGTAAAGTACCCATCCTCTGGAGCGTCACTATGGTAACATAAAACAGACTAGTGCAATCACCACGTAGTCCCTAGCACACAAAGATCATTCAGACTTTCTTTTGGGCATTGGGTGGTAAGAATTGGTGGACTCCTGAATGGAGGACAGAGGCCAGGGAACAAGCACTCACTGAACCTGCCACCGACAGGTGACACACCCAACCCATCTGCCCAGAGCTGCTCACACGCTGCCAGGGCCTGAGTGCTCAGGTCAGCCATTAATAAGGGCAGACTCCGAACCTCCCAGTACATGCTAGCAGCGGACTCTGGCCCTAGGGGGCCTTGGGAGAGAGCTGGCCGAAGAGGGGTTCCACAGTGTCACAGAGGCACAATCCCATTGGGGCTAGGAGGTGGCCTGGGAGAACGCCAAGCGCTTGGGGAAGCAACTGCTTTGGGGTTGGACCATCCTTTGAGTTTCTTAGAAGCTGTTGGAAAGACCTTGGCAAGTCAGCTAAGCTCTCTGGGCTGCCTCACTTTGTTCATTTCTGAAATAAGCTTTTCAAAGGTGGACTTTTAGGGTTGCCATGAAGACAGGAAATCTTTGGGTAGTTGGAGAGGAGCTTAGGGGCATTGACTCTAACTTGTCTTTGCTGGAAGGGGGACAGTTGGTGGTCCCCAAGCAGTATAAGGATGGTTCATGTTCCTTGCCACTCTACACCCTGCAGGTGGGGCTAGTGGGGCTGGCAAGGAATGGCTGCCGTGGTCTCTGAGGCCTTCATGGTGCCACCAGGCTGGGAGCGACCCGGAGCCACAGGGGGACAGGGGGCCAAGCTGCAGGTCTGGTAGCCGCCCTGAGTGACCACAGCTGAGCCTGGGCCTCAAGAGAGGGGCTGGGGGCTCAGGTGTGTGGGCACAACTCGGAGCAGACCAGCCTTCCTACCAGGGTCTGCCACCCTGCGGGTCCCTCCAGACCCAGGCTCTGACCAGCTCAGTACTGCTGCCAACTGGCAGGGCCTGGATATACTTCCGTGGAAGGCAGGGGCACACTAGGGTAGGCCAGGGGACCAAGACCAAACCCAACTCACCACATCGGCGAGAGCTGACTCCACCATAAAGTGCACCAAAAGAGCAGCCCAGGCAGCCCAAGCCTGCTGCGTGCCAGGAACAGCACCTCATCACAGCACATGGGAACCCTGCATGCCCAGCAGCTCCCTGTTGAATGGAGCTCCTGCCATAGGTGATCTGTCCCCATCTGGTCAGCCTGTAGAGTGGCCAGGGCCTCCTACCACTCCGTCTTTAGGTTCCTTCCAACTGCGCTGGGCACCTCAAAGCCACACCTTGCCGGAAGTTTCCTGCCAGCTTACAACCAAAGGAGCCACTTCTCGAATTGGGACACACTCACACATGTGCAGAATGACCGGAGCAGAGCGGCTATTGCCAACCCCTGGGTCAAAGGGACAGGGACGCGTGCCAGACAAGGACCAGGGCTGGTGTTTTGCATGGGTGTCTTTCTTTCAGGCCTGGCTGTGCTCGGAAGTCAATTTTCTTTTCTTGACAGGGCAGTAGGTCAGAGAGTCAGTAAGACCACTGCCAAAGCAGACAGAAGAGTAGTCCAGCTCTTTAGGACAGGAAGCCAGGTGGGTTGACAAACAGTGCTTGCATCCCTGTGCCAGCCTGAATGCTGCTTTCTCTCTCCGTCCTGCCACCCTCGCCCCCACCAGGCTTAGGTCAGGCCAGGATGGCTTCTGACCTCCTCCCTGGTCCTTCTGCTGTCACTGCACCTCCTTCCTTCCCTTCTGCCACCTTCACTGGCCCCTAATCCCACTCATCCCATCAGCCCTCTCTTCTCCTTCATCTCCCGACGGTTCTCACTGTTTCGAACACTCCAGACAAACTCATCAGTCCATCCTCTTCTCTCCAACCCCTCAATGTCAACACTGCGCTTCAGAAAGGCCATGTGCCTCAGTGTCTGGATGGTGGCCCTGCCAAAATAATCCCTCCACCTTTGTTCATGCCAGTCCCCTCCCGAAATGCCCTCCCAGTGCCTCTCGCCTCTCCCTCAGGGCCCCGCCCCCCCTGCCACCCCTGCTTCTCCAGGGTGCCCCCATGGCCGGAGTCCCACAGCAGGCACACACCCGAGCACCTTGGGACGGGCGGCCTGGGTCTGTCCAGGGGAGACCTGCCTGTCTAGCAGCCTCAAGAAGCACAGGGATCAGCACCCTCCAGGTCCCAGTCCCAGCTCAGCCGCGCACACAGCCAGTCCCCTCTCAGGTCCATCATCCTCTTCCCTTGTCTGCAGCTTCGGGGGGGGGGTGCCACTCAAAAGGGAGCTTCCTGGGCCACTTGAGCACACTGTCGATGGCAGCGTGAACTGGAGTGTCTTTTGGGAGGACAATCTCCACAGGTATTAAAGGCTAAAGGGAAAGCCTGTGGATCTACCTGTTCCACCGCAGCAACCCAAGCTGAGAAAGAAACTGCACAAGTGGAACAAATGTGATGCCTGTCATCCCAGAGGGGCTCATCCCAGCGTTAAGTATGGTGGTGAAAACCGGCCAATAACCTAAAGCCCACCAATTCTACTCAAATACAGTATGGTCCGCCCAACTTGTATGTAGTATTTAACATACCTTCCTGTACAATCCCTCCTCCATATCCACAGGGTCCACATCTGCAGATTCAACCAACTTCAGATCAAAAATACTAAAATAATTGCATCAGGACTGAACATGGACGGACTTTTTTGTCATTATTCCTTAAACGGTACATAAAACAACTATTTACATAGCGATGACACTGTATCCCAAGAAATCTAGAGATTATTTAAAGTATGCATAAGGAAGGATGTGCCTAAGGTATGGAAACAGGATGCAACTTTTTATAAGGGGTCTGAGCACCTGCGGTGGACTTTGATACTGGGGCATTTGCAGCCTGGTCCAAGACACAGGCGGAGGCAGCGGTGGCAGCCTTGGGGGAAGGAAGCACGCTTCTTTACTCAAGTATGCAAGGGACAAAGACAGATGGAGGGATAACGGGTGCACATGAGGGTCCTCTCATTGCTTGCGGAGGGTGGAGCCACTGGCCAGGTGGGGAGGATCCCCACACCACACCACGTGCTCACCCAGGGCCACCCTCCCAGCCCGAGGCGAGTGGGAAAGTAGATCTGCCAGAGGACGGACTTAGTCCCAGAGTCAAGGCCAGCCCTGCTCGGGAGCCTGCAGAGTGGGGCACCTGGACTGGTTCTTGTCCACATGAGGGCACATGCGCTCCGGAACACTCTCAGGACGCCTCCTCCTCTGCGCTCACATAAAAGGAGGGAGGCAAGAGAAAGGGACCTGAGCGGCCAACGAGCACAGCAGTCAATATTCACGGACCCACAGCTAGTGCTTTTAAGGCAGTAAGGGGCAGAAGTGAATTCAGAAAGCCTTGGGAGAGGCGCCAGGGTCTGCTTTCAGCCTTGCCACCCTCCTGAAGGCCCCACCCAGTTCTAAGCCACACTGTGATGGGGTCTGGGAGGTGCTAAAAAGTTCGGCCCCCGAAGGCAGTGCACCTCTGCACACATAGCCCAGGGGCCAGGGTTCGGGAGCCGGGCAGCCCATCTGCAACCTGTGGGCAGTAAGCACACCTCCATCCTCGCTGCACTGGGACCACAGTGAGCCTGGGGAGGGTCCTCTGCCGGCCCAGGGCCTCACTCCCAGGGGTCTGAGTCCTGGCCCATACCGGAGCTCTGCTAACCCACTGCACACTCTGACAAAATGCTCCCCGGGGCAAAGGGACAGGATGCAGGTGGCCCAGGCACACCCACTGCCAGCCACCAGGCACTCGGTCCCCGAAGTCAACTTCCTTGTGGAGGCAGTGGATTCTTCAGGCTGGGACCAGCCACCCAGGCCTGACCGGGCCCCTCAGCCTGGCCAGTTCCCAAAGTCTCCAAGCACATGACCCAGAACCCCACCGAGGAGAGCCGCTCCCACTGTCCACAGCCCTGCCCTCTCTACCCCAGTCCCACAGCCCAGCTCTCCACTCACACCCTGTGCTAGAGATCAACACAGAAGAAACAGAGAGGAACTACTGGGACTGCAATCCTGCTCACTCCTAGAAGGTGAAGAGCCAATGTTCTGGCCCCAGCCGCCTACCCTTCCTTCCAGTCCTCCTCTTCTGTGAACCTGGGCTACTCTACCCCATCGGCCGGCCTTGACATCTAGAGAGGTGGCCCAGTCAGAGCTGGTTCACAGGCTGTGGCCTCTGCTCCTCTTCCCTAAGTGGCCTTACAGGCTGGGATGCCTCACTCTCTGCGCCTAGGTCGTCTTATCTGGAGAGTGGCACCAAACCTATGGAACCACCCACTAGGTCTCCTTTCGGCAGGGTACCCCCAAGCTAGAGCCTGTGCTTCTTTCTGGAACTTTCCATCCATGGCACAGGTGTCTTGATGCGGGTGGCTGTCTTCATCTCCCGAATGGCCCACAAGAGAACATGTTTAGTCAGGCCAGCCATTCTGTTCACCTTTCCGGTATCACAGTCCCCATTTCTACTTTGACTGGAAAACAATTTCTGGTTCTTTGGTAATTGCTATAGCACTCTGCTTAGGGCCTGGCCTGGGCCACCAAAGGAAGGGTTGGCTTATGTGACACCTTCCAAG